TATATAGAGAGAGAGAGAGAGAGAGAGAGAGAGAGAGAGAGAGAGAGAGAGACTGGGAGTGTAGCTCAGTGGTAGAATATCCTTGGGTTCAACCCTCAGTACCAGGAGTTTGCAGAGTAGAGGATTTTTTTTCCTCTTGCTGATTGACAGATTCCCAATCTACAGCAAAGTTCTGTTTTCTTAAATCCTCTCCCAAGTCAAGGCCACATCCTATGAAACCTTTCTAATTTCTCTTCCCGAGGCACCCTGTGCTTCTCCAGGGTATCTTCTCCCTCCCTACTGCTATACATTATCAACTCAACTTCTTCAGCCACAAGTGTGTTCTGGCTGCCCTCTCCTGGAGGTCCTGGACAAAGCTGTGATGGATGATGACAAAACCAGGCCTGGATGTAATATAAACTATAAGAACACTGTGCCAGGGGAAAGGTCAAATTTCCCTCCCCTTTCAACCCTTCTTTAGGAAACTAATTAACAGCGCAGACCCCTACATTTTGGATTGTAAATAACTTCTGGGAAACTAAGTACTCCCCTTTGAAGTGTAAAGGCCCCTGTTGAAACTTTGGGCTCAAGACTAGAGATTATCAAAGGCCTTGTGAGAGGAGCCAGTTTTTCCCATTATTGCACCAATATCTAACAAAATGAAATTAAACATCTCTCACCATGCACAAAACTCAACTCAAAGTGGATCAAGGACCTAGGAATTAAACCAGATACTTTGCACCTAATGGAAGAAAACAGTAGGCCCAAATCTCCATCATGTAGGATTAGGCCCCAACTTCCTTAATAAGGCTTCTATAGCACAAGAATTAAAAAAAAAAAGAATCAATAAATGAGATGGATTCAATCCCAAAGGCTTCTTCTCAGCAAAAGAAACAATCAGTGAGGTGAATAGAGAGCCTACAGAATGGAAGCAAATCTTTACCATAAGCACATCAGATAGAGCACTAATCTGTAGGATATATAAAGCCCTCAAAAACCTTAATATCAAAAAATCAAATAACCCAATCAATAAATAGGCTAAGGAACTGAACAGACACTTCTCAGAAGAGGATATATAATCAACCAACAATATATGAAAAAATGTTCAACATTAGAGAAATACAAATCAAAACTACTCTAGGACTTTATCTCACTGCAGTCAGAATGGCAGCTATCAAGAATACAAACAACAATAAGTGTTGGCAAAGATGTGGGGGGAAAGGCACACTCTTACATTGCTAGTGGGACTGCAAATTGGTGCAGCCAATCTGGAAAGCAGCATGGAAATTCCTTGGAAAACTTGGAATGGAACAACCATTTGACCCAGCTATCCACTTCTCGATCAATACCCAAAGGACTTAAAATCAGCATACTACAGGGACACAGCCAGATCAATGTTTATAGCAGCTCAATTCACAATAACTAAACTGTGGAACCAATGCAGATGCCCTTTGATAGATGAATGGACATCTATTAAGACACAGTGGTGTATATACACACTGGAATATTACTCAGCATTAAAAGAGAATAAAATTATGGCAATTGCAGGTAAATGGATAGAGTTGGAGAATATCATGCTAAGCAAAGTAAACCAATCCTGAAAAACCAAAGGCCAAATGTTCTCTCTGATAAGTGGATGCTGATCCCTAATGGGGGTTGGAGGGGTGAGAGTGGAGGCACTTTGATTGGGCAAAGGGGGAGGAAGAGAAGGGAAGAAGAGATGCAGGTAGGAAAGATGGTGGAATTGGATGGACATCATTACCCTAGGTACATGTATGACCGCACATGTGGTGCGACTTTATATCATGTACAAGAGGAAAAACATAAAGTTGTGTTCCACTTGTGTACAATGAATCAAAAAGCTTTCTACTGTCATGTGTAACTGAATAGAATTAATAAAAATTCAACTAAAAAAACCATTCTCTTCTTTATAAATTACCCAGTCTGTGGTCTTCCATTGTAGCAATAAAAAACAGAGAAAGACAGGGCTCCTGAGAGAAGCAGAGATTAGGAGCTCTGGGTTGAGCATCAGAGCCAGACACACTATGTCCCATGGAGAGCTTGCTTCCCTCCAGACCCATGGAGAGAACAAACCAAGGCAATTCCTCCTGATGGCTGTTGGAAAGCAGGTCACTGGGAGGAACTACTGCTGGTACACTGTCCTCTGGCTAACAGGTTCTTTACCTCCCATCTTGTTCCTTTCATTCCTTTGTTATTAATAATCATATATTACTTTTCAAACCCCAAACCTAGCACAGAATGTTATTTGAATAGAAGCTGCCATGAAGCTGCAGTATGAAGAAATGCATGACCTGACTCACTAGAGCAGTTGAGTAGGATCCAGGCTGTCCTTCCCAGGCTTCAGGTACTACCCAGGGGAACCCAGGTAAGGAGGACCTAGGCCCAGCAAGGAAGGGTATGTTTGGAAAAAAAAATTACTTGCTGCCCCTAGGTTTCAACTCTGGATGGACCAGCTCTATATGCCAGGGCAGTGCCATGCCACTGGACACTAGAGCACACACTACATGCTGCCTGTAACCACAGGATGCACAGGACAGAGAAGAGAGCATCAGCACTCCACTGACTTTCCTAAGTTAGCAGGTAAAGCAGACAGCCTGATATTTCAGAAAAAATAGGAAAGCAACATTTCCTGTATACAACTGCTTTAAAATTATAGCTTAAAAGCTATGCTTCAAGAGTAAGTAAATAAATAAGATTAGGACTTATTTATAAGAAAAAAATTAGAAGTCCCACTCTCATAAATAAGTCTGGGTCATGTAGGTCCTAATCTTATAAATAAGTCTATATTAGAGCAAGAACATCTCATTATACAAATCACAAAAGTACATTATGTTTACAAGGTATGCATGTGGAAAAGGAGTCTCTGATCTTCAGTTTCACTCTCCTCAGCCCAGTAGTAATGAGCCCTTCCCCTGGTAATTGGTGATGGCTTGATTGGGAACCTGCATTCACATTCTTGCCTTCAGTGTGGTTTAGATTAATAGTATCCAATACATTTCATAATTTATGTATAATCTATATATAATGGCTGATACTATCTTGATGAAATCTTTCTTTCTAAAAAAATCATCTTGTTTGGTGTTGGGGATGAAATCTAGGACTGCATAACTGATAGGCAAATGCTCTACCCCCAAGATGAACTCTCAACTCATTAAAAAAACATCAGTTTTATGGTTGGGGCTGGGGCTCAGTGGTAAGGCGCTCACCTGGTACACAAGAGGCATTAGCTAAGAAGTCAGTAAGATGTTAAAAAGGAGTAGTAGGAGAGAATACCCTTGATTGTTCCTGATCTTAGTGGGAAAGTTTCAAGTATTTATCTTTAAGAATGAGGTAGGGGTGATATGGCAGCCAGCGCCCAGGCAGCAGGGGTAGCCAGCTGTGGCAAGTTGCTATCACTCGGCTAGAAGTCACTCAAGCCTGAGGGTGGAAAGTGAGAGAAGGAGTCCAGGCACCACGGGGGTGACTGGGCCACTGGTGGCGAGTCCCTGATGCAAGCCCAGGCCAGGCCTCTGCATTTCTAGGCAGAACACAACAGTTGCTATGAGTCCCACCCTGCGTAGAATTCTGAGTGTTTGGGTCATAATTGACCCTCCCAGCATTCCAGGAGTTTCAGAGCAGAGGTGGATAGAGACAGAGGTGGTTTTCAGAGGTGGATAGAGACAGAGGTGGTTTTCAGAGGTGGATAGAGACGGAGGTGGTTTTCAGAGGTGGATAGAGACAGAGGTGGTTTTCAGAGTGGGTCTGATGGCTCACTGAAATTGGGGAGATGTCATCCTGGTTTAGAGGCCTAGGCTCCAGCTTGGGCCACTCCTTGGGTCAGGTGGGGGACAGCTTGGCTTCCCTCACTGGCCAAACGTCCAATGTCACCAAGGACAAGATTCCCAAAGAATTCGAGGATGTAGAAGCAGGTTTACCTAGTTATTGGAGAAAGAACATTGAAGACACCAAATGGATGATCAGATATGACAATGAAAGACTTAAAAACTATTGTGCTGACCTGGAAGAAAGGTATGCAGCATCTGAGCTATGGATCCAACATCAATCTGCAAATTACTGAAATGAACTGGCACAGAAAGAAGTCGAAATCAGGCAACTGAAAGCAAGACAGTTTGTACTAGAAGATGAGTTGTTGCAACTGAAGTCAGCTGCCCAACCACTGCATTCAGGAGCTGGTGGTGTACCGTCAACCACTGCCCCGTCTTCATTCGGTCATGTCATCAGTCATGGTTCAGCTTTTCCCGGTGATAACATGGACTTCAGTGACATCATTTCAGCACAACAAGAAATCAACAGACTGACAATTGAAGTTTCAAGACTCGAATTTGAAGTTGACCTTCGGAGCGCTATTGCTCAGGCACAGGCAACACATAATTCGGATCAAAGTGAAATTTGCCAACTACAAAATACTATTAAGCTACTTGAACAAAACCGAAATCAAGACCTTGATAATCACCAAGGTGAAATTGCAGTTTTGCAGAATGTACATCAACAGAAACTGGCCGAGATGAGTCGCCGATATCGAGAGGAACTAAATGACTCTGAAGAAAGAATTAAAAAACTTGAAAATCAGTTACAGCAAGGTGACTCGGGAGTAACAGTAACTGATGAGTCTAAAACCTGTGACTTGCAAAAAATGATTCAGGTTCTACAAACTGAAAAACTAGAGGCTGCCAGGAAGATCGAAGAACTTGAGGATCAACTAAAAGACATAAATGAACAATTATCTTTGGCACAAAATGACACAAGAGGTCTTGAAGAGAGAAAAAGAGCAGCTCAGTGTGGAAAAGCAAGAAATCATGGAACAGTGTGAAACCTTGAAGCTGGAATGTAGTCAATTGCAGCCTTCTGTGATGATGGAGCAGAAAGAGGAGGAAATTGGGAATGTGAGGAAAACCAGTGAACAAATAAAAGCCCAGTTGCAGGAACACACACACAACACTCCAGCAGACAATTCTGATAGTTTCCAAATAACAAAAGTTCAAAGTCTTCACATAGAAAACAGAAGTGAAAAACATGACCTGTGTAACCATGAAATTGTAAAAGGAGTGAAAGGAATCCAACATGAACTTGAAATTCAACTTGTAAATGAAAAGAGTAGATTTTTAACCAACCAGATTGATCAGCTGTCTGAAGATGAAGTTGGTCAACTCACTCAAGCTATCCCGCAACAAGCTCTTCAGGCTGAAACTTATTCAGGAAAACTTGATATGATTCCACCCCAGCCCTTGGCTGCATCATCACGTACCTCCCAGTCAGCAGAAGTCCAAGAGCTGAGACAATCACTACAAGAAAAAGAGGCCACCATTAGGATGCTCCAGGAAAATAACCACAGGTTGTGTGATGCAATTGCTGCTGCCACAGACAGAGAAAACAAAGAACATGAAGAAATGGATTCCGAAATTCAACAGCTCAAGGAAGAACAAGATGTGTTAAAAACTTTACTGAAGGAAAAAGACCTCTTCATCCAAGCCAAAAGTGATCAGTTTCTTTCTTCCAATGAAAAACTGACAAAGTGAATGAAAACGAGTTGTTGAGGCAAGCAATAACCAACCTAAAGGAGAGAACATTAATTTTAGAAATGGTCATTTCTCAACTCAAAGGGGAAAATGAAAAAATGACAGAAACATCCCAAGAAAAGGAAACGGAGTATCAAGCATTACAAGAGACCAACTTGAAGTTCTCTGTGATCCTGCTAGAACAAGAGTACGAGTGCCAGTCCATGAAGGACAAGCTCTTGCCTTTAAGCAGCTGTTACTGGAAAAAGAAGATGGCAAGTCTGGGAACTTAAGTCCACTTTTAAAAGCACTTGAATCCACACAGGAGAAGACCATCCTGTTTCAGCAGGAGAGAGACCAAGTCACCTTGTCTCTAAAGCACCAACAGATGGCAAACTGGATCTTAGAGCAAGAGGTTCAACACTTACGTGACAAAGAATTACACTTAAAGCAGGAGGTACAAAGACTGAGGAGTCATCTTCTAGAATCAGAAGATTCTTACAGCTGGGAAATTGGGGCTGCAGAGAAGAGAGAGAGGAACCTGAGAGAGAAAGTCACACTATTGGAGGAAAAGCTGCTCTCCTTTTCTAATGCAAGTCATCAAGCCAGTGTGCAGGTAGAGTCCCTGCAGAAACAGGTGCGTTTACTCTCCCAAGAGAGGGATGAGAATGCACTGCAGCTTTTGCTCTACCAGGAACAAGGAAAGCAGTATGCACTGTCACTCACTAACCTGCAAAAGGTTCTAGAGCGTTCCCAAGAAGAAGAAAAAGCTCTGTATTCCGCTGAATTACAAAAGGAAAGACAATATACAACCGAATGGAAGGAAAAGGCAGAAAATCTAGAAAGAGAGGCATTATTATTACAGGAATGCTTGGATGAAGCCAACTTTGTGTTGGATTCAGCAACCAGATCTACACAACAGTTACATCAAAAGGAAGAACAGATTGAACAAAGTGAGCTCCCACGAGAAATATTGGACGATGCCCAAAAGAAATGGATGAACTCAGAAAACGGCACAGAAGGAAAAGTGGACAAAGCCCTAATGAGAAACCTGTTCATTGGGCATTCGCAGACAACGAAAAATCAGCGTCCCAAAGTGTTAAGGTTAATGGGAAGCATCCTGGGCATTCAAAAGGAGGAAATAGAGCAGTTGTTGAATGGATATGATGGTGGTGTTCTAAGTGGATGACAGGATGGCTTGCAGGAGGATCCCAATGTGGCCCCAACACACCTTTGACACCAAATGAGCAACCTGGGCTGAAGAGTTCTTTTTCAGAACTTTTTGTCCAATTTCTGAAAACAGAATCTCATTCATCCATTCCATCACCAAAACTTTCTGCTCGTGCCATGAAGTGTCTAGACTCCAGAGGAAGGAGAAAGGGACGTGCAAAAATACCAAGAAGTGTGACAGACACAGCAGAATTCAGAGCTGGTAAAAGAGAGGCTGTGAATCCATTCTTGGCACCGTGTTCTGCGGCTGTGCCACTGATTAGCCTAGATGGACTTGGACCTGGTGGACCTGGGAATCTCCTTTTGAATCCCATCACAGACTTCATGCCCACCTTTACACCATTGCCAGTGTCACTGAACCATAGCGCCAGGGTTGTACTAAAGGACCTTTGAAAGCAATTCAAAGTGATTCTCAAGCCAGAGATGAGTTAACACTTTAAAGAAGAAATAAACATTTTGCTCTTTTTAAAAAGGGCCCCAAAAAAAAACCGGGGAATTGGAAGGAAAAAAAAAAAAAGTTGGCCCATAGAAGTACCAGGCATTTTGTCTCCCCCTCCCCATTTTTAGTGTGTGTTTGTTTGCTGTAGCACTGTTTTAAAATAAATTTTTCTTTGTTTACCGTAGTCCTCTTTTTCATATGATATTTTGTTCTGATGCTATCAGGTAATCAACAGCAAGAATAACCATAGCTCCAACCCCCCTTTTTTAGGATTATATTTGTTACATTTAATTACATTAAGATAAAAATGATACATTTATATAACAGACAGAATAGAAGAAAAAATCCAACCCATATGAAACCCATATGAAAAAGATACATACCTCAGAATTTGGGCTAGATGAAAACAAAATATGAAGTAGCAAAATGTTGTAAATTCTTTAGTTCATAAAAGAAAACACTATATAACTACTAAAAGAAAATTACAGTGGGAGGGCCTGAACATGAAGTTTAGTGGATAAATTCTAAGATTCCTTTAATCCAAATACTATGACTCCTATCCATTTTACTTCATTCTATAAAAGAGTCACTTGACGTTCATTTCGTTTTCTAGATGTTACGTATGTTCAGAAGGAAGATGACATTTGTCAGTCAGACCCAAAGTATAATCACATGCATCCTTTTTAATTTGTAAGAATGTATCATTAAATATCTGGACTGTTCAAATACTTTGCTGGGCCCTTCAGTAATGCTTATAAACACATTTTTAAAAACATTTGATCAAGGAAAAAAGTGGGGTAGAGAAATAAAACATTACAAAGTTTTGAAAGGTGGAAAAGTTACCAAAGGAGTAGTTTAGTCCTTTTTTATTTTGGTAAATTAAGGTAAAAAATAAATCAAAAGTTTCTAGCTTAAGTCAGGTGATTATCAGAGAAGTGAGAAAGCAGATTATGTAGCAAATGCTTCTCTGACACCTGAAATTTGTAAAACCATTAAGAACATTTTTATTAAAATTGATTCAAATAAAATTCAATATAAATTAAAGTAAATCATAATTTTTTGAATTAATTTAACTAATTTAATTTATTTTATTAATTTAATTATGAATTCAATTGATTTCATTAATTCATGTTATTAATTGATTTTATTTATTAATTTAATAAAATTAATGATTTATATTTGAAATTTTATTGAATTTAGTTTAAAAATTTAAATTTAATAGAAATCAAATTATTTAATATTCATTATATCATTTAATACGAATTTTAGTAAAATTAATTTTGACAAAATGTTCTCAATGGTTTTAGAACTTGCAAGTGTCAGAGAACTATTTGCTATATAATCCACTTTTTTCTCTTCTTCGATTTCACATAACTTGAGCTGGAAACTTTTGATTCATCTTTTATCTTAATTTACAAAAATAAAAAGTGAAGACACAATACCTAGTGGCCATATAGATCAGACAAGAAAGCGGGAAGACAGTGGAGTATATAAAACAAACACACATATATATCAAGAAAAATAAAAAAAATGTTAAAATAGCAGAAATTGGTGGGAGAAAAGAGAAAGAAAAAAAAATTAAAAATAAAAAAAGAATAAAAGGAATGTACAACACAACTCAAATATAGTATTCAGACATCCCAGTCCTCAATATCCTAATTCATGCAATGTACTTGGCTTGACACATGTTGGGGATGTGGGGGCAGGTGACAGGAGAGGGAGAGGGGGGGAAAAAAGGGAAAAAAATCTTGAATGAAGACACAGGGCTTGTTTTTCTTGGCGATTGGTATCTTTCCTGCTTCCCTTCTCATCCCATAGGTGGTGTCCTCTGTTATTAGATGGTGAGGGTAATTAGAGTGTTGCTGTGCCAGGTTAGTGGCTGCTGGAGAGAGGGGGAGTTAGAAACTGGGTACGTGGAGTATGGTGATGAAGGTGACCCAAGATGGAGGCTCCTGCTTTCATAGTTGGGGTGTTGGGTTGCCCAGGGTGAGCCAGGTGATGATTTTGGATGGTGTGGGCTGACTTCAGAGGCTGTGTGAAATTCCTGGGTGCAGGCAGGCTACTGCACATAGGAGGCTGTGTCCACTGCTGCAGAGTCCCAAGACAGAAGTGACCAGGGGAGCCCCACATAGATAGATGGGGGTCCACATGGGGGTGGCGGTCTGAGTTCCTACTCGTGGGAAGCTGCCAGGTGTCCTCCATGGGAGCGGCAACAATGCTTTCTGCTTGAGTGTGTGGCTGAAAGTTCTTCATGGGTGCTGCTGCCACCTCTGATGGTCTCCCTGAGGTACCCAGTAATCCTGTGTGAGCAAGTAGTTGGGAGACCTACTCTGATGCCGAGGCCTGGAGCCCTAGATGAGTGCAGGGGGGCAGGAAGATTGCTTGCAGAGAAGCAGTATTCTCACTACTTGCATCCCAGGTCACGGAGCAACACAGAATACTGCCTCCCTCTGGCCTGCCATCCTGAATCCAGAAATAGAAACATTTACATAGCAAGAAAAGGTGAAAACAGACTAGTCCAAATATGTAAAAAGGTCTGGCTCCAAATAAAGCACAATTTGATTGTCAATTTTGCTGTTATTACTGAATATTTCTGATGTATTTGGGAGACTGAAGTTTTGATATGTTGATGGTTAAAATTTGTTTTCCAAAAAATTAATAGGTGACACTGTGTGAAACAGCATCACCTCTTTTCTTAACTAACTTATTTATATAGTCATTCTTCTGTACATTGTAAAGGAAGTTCCCATAGTAGTTCATATGAGAAATGTTCACCTGCTTCCTGAGCTATGCCCAGTTGGCATCATAGATGCTCCTGTACTTAACCCCTCCATACACAATTTAAAAATATTAATTTCAGGCAAGGAAATAGAGGATGCCATCAGTAGCCTACCAACCAAGAAAAGCCCAGAATTGGAGGGATGCCCAGCTGAGTTCTACAAGACATTTCAAGAAGAACTAACACCAATGCTTCTCAAACTATTTCATGAAATATAAAAAGAGGGAACACTTCCAAACACATTCTATGAGGCCAATATTACCCTGGCTCCAAAGCCAGACAAAGACACAGCAAAGAAACAGAATTTCAGACCAATATCTCTAATAAACATAGATGCAAAAATTTTCAATAAAGTTATGCAAATTGAATACAAAAACATATCAAAAAGATAGTGCACCATGATCAAGCAAGGTTTATCCCAGGAATGCAAGATTGGTTCAACATACAGAAATCAATAAATCACATCAGCAGACTTCAAGATAAGAATAATAGGATCATCTCAACAGACACAGAAAAAGCATTCGAAAAAAATGCACCCCTTCATGTTCAAAATGCTAGAAAAACTAGGGATATCAGGAACATACCCAACATTGTAAAGACTATCTATGCTAAGCCCCAGGCCAACATCATTCTAAATGGAGAAAAATTGAAAGCATTCCCTCTAATAACTGGAACAAGACAGGAATGTCCTCTTTCACTACTTTTATTTAACATAGTCCTTGAAATTAGCCATAGCATTTAGACAGATGAAAGAATTTAAAGGGATACAGATAGGAAAAAAAAGAACTCAAATTATCACTATTTGCAGATGATATGATTCTTTACCTAGAAAACCCAAAACATTCCACAGAAATCTTCTAGAACTCATAAATTCAGCAAAGTAGCTAGATATAAAATCAACACCATAAATAAAAGGCATTTATTTCTGTACATCAGTGACAAATCCTCAGAAAGAGAAACTAGGAAAAACCACCGCATTTACAATAGCTTCAAAAACAAAAAACAAAAAGCAAAAAACAAAACAAAACAAAAATTTGGGAATCAACTTGAAAGAGGTGAAAGACCTCTACAATGAAAACTACAGTATGCCAAAGAACAAAAGAAGAGACTACAATAGGAGGTCAAGCTAGGTGGCCCAGATACACCCACACCGGCTACATGGAATCCAGGCTCACAGTAGGGCCAGCTCCACCCCTCCACTGGAGGCAGGCACCCACTGGAGCCCAATCTCTGGCACAGGACAACCTCTTCAGACCAGCAGACTACTGCGGAAGCCCAGGCCTGGCCCAGATTCACCCATGCCAACTTACACAGAACCCAGATCCAGAATAGGTCCAAGTTTGCCCTACCACACACCTAGGAGCCTAAACCTAACCCACTTCCATCTTGCAACACTGCAGTCATCTCTATAGCCTTCCCCATGCGGTATCCCCTAACTTTTTGACAACAGACAGGGCCTAGAGTCAGCTGCATCTCAGAGCAGACATCCCAAAGAGAGTGTGGGGTCCACCCTTTCAGCCCCATTTCTGTAAGACTTTGCTTCCATCTTGGGGCACCTCAATTATTAAATCAAATTACCTCAGTTATTGCCGCCACCACTTTTAGATGCAGTAGCATACACTGAGAGTCACCAGCAGGGTGTGGAAGCCCAATATCAAGATGAGGTGCAGACAATCTGCATGGGTACTACAAGAATATAGTGTAGAAACTGTAATATCCCAGATCCATGATGCAAGAAAGGAAGACACATAGACAACATAAAAAAACAAGAGAGGAATGTGTCCCAAACAAATCAGGATACTCTAATAACAGAACCCATGGACAGTGAAGTTGATGAAATGACAAGAGAATGAGATCAGAGGGTTCATAATTAAAATGATCTGTGAATTAAAGAATGAACTAAGAGAGCAAATACAGGCAAAATTTGTTCACTCCAACCAAGAGATAAGAGAGCAAACACAGGTAGAAAAAGATTACTTTAAGAAAGAGATAGAGACTCTGAAGAAAAAACTAGTCAGAAATCCTTGAAATGAAGGATACAATAATTCAAATAAAAAATTCAATATAAAGCATAACCAACAGACTAGATCACTTAGAAGAAAGAACATCAGAAAATGAAGTCAAAGTATATATATCTGAAAAATAAAGTTGATCACATAGTGAAGATAGTAAGAAACCATGAACATCCAAGATTTATGGGACAGCATCAAAAGACCAAATCTAAG